AAAATTTGTACAATAAAACTAAATTTTTTTTTTTTAAAAAACTAAAGTAAGTCTCAAATTAGCTAAAAATTTTTATTCTGACTGAATTCCACTACGAATGTGGAAACATTTTTTTAATAAAAAAATCTGAATACCTTTGATTTATATTATTTAATTATTTTTCTACAAATTATCCGATGATGGTGGTAGCAGTAGGGTACCAGGTGGTGATGGAGAAATTTTTTCCTCTCTCACTATTAATTCTTCAACGTTAGCTACATTGAGAGTTACTTTAGAGGCGTCATCCTATGCAAATTTAAGAGTGATAACGGTATCGATGAAAAATGTGAGAGCGCAAAATAATGCTAATATACCGGAAGCTATGCTTTGATCGCTGTATTGTTGAACGTTCATTTTAAGTAGATTTATTTCACCGGAATGATGTTTTCTCCAATTTTCAAGAGATACGGCTGCTGCAGCCACAAATAAACATCCTCCGATAAAGGAGAATAAAACTTGCTGCGAATCATATACACATATATATATATATAAAAAATATTTACCTTTTTTTTTCTCCTTTCCTGCGAGGGGGACCCCAACGAATGTTACATATATACCTTGCGGCCATTAAATAATAAATTTATTCTCGAAGAAAAAAAAAAAAACTTACCGTTATTTTTGGTATTCGTTCACCGGCAACAAATGATATAAGCAATATCGTGTTGATAATTATGTATGATGGCCAAGATACGTAAACGATACCGCTGTGATTATGATTGAACGATAAAACTCCATTATTTATCGGATCTACAATTAATCCCACAGCAATAATAGCTAAACACTGTAAATAAAAATATATATGAGTAAACTTTATAGAAAAAAAAAAAAATCATCACAATAATAATGATAAATGAATTCTTACCAATTCAATTAATTTCAAAATATAAGGTACGGTTAATTTCGTATTCATTTTTCTTTTGAAAAAGTATAATAAATCTTACACAGAGAAACCAACAGGAATAAAATGTTATTTTTTTTCCACCGTATTTGTTATATATATATATATAAACAAATTCGATATAAAATTTCAAACAATAACTTCTCTGTCACCGGTTGATTGCCTACTACCCAAAAAAAAAAAAAAAATTTTTTAGTACATTCTTACAAATTAATATTTTATTTAAAAAGGGTTTATGTGTGTGTGTGTGTGTGTGTGTGAGTCTGTGTGTGTGTGCGTGTGTGTGTGCGTGTGTGTGTGTGTGTGAGTGTATGTAATATCCTTCGGTTAACCCGTTTAAACGTTTAACATTCATTAATAATTACGGAAAAAAAAATAAATAAATAAATTATTCTATTGATTATGTATAATAAAAAAAAAATTTATAAGATCAAAAATTTTGTATTGAGACAATTTTTTTTTTTTTTGAAATGAAAATTGGATAATGTTATCATCATCATTATTATTATTTTTCGATAATTTTACGAGGAATAATTAAGGTTTTGCAAAAGATCCTAATAAATTTTCCGCGTAAAAATCCGTTAAAAAATAAAACGAGATATATTTTCCTAAAGTGAGATTATTCGTTTTAACACTAAAAAGAGTAACCAATAAGTATAATTAGTGTAATTTTTTTTTTTTTTTTTTAAATAATAATAAATCATTGTTTGCGAAATTCCAATCGTAAATGTTTTTTTTTTTTTTTTTTTAAATGAAAATTCTCTTAAAATTTTTCCTCATGTACGTATATATATAACAACCACGTTTATTTTGTTATTGTTTACGAAAAACGTTTAATAAAAATAAAAATTTTTTTTTTTTTTTTCCCCGACAATTCCCGACAATTTTTTTTTTTTATACGTACAAATAATTTTTTTTTGTCAATAAAAAACCGTTAAAAACTCGTTAAAACTTGACGAAAAAAATTGTTTTTTAAAAAATACACACACTAACGTAAAATATTATCAAAAAAATAATAATAATAAAATTAAAAAATAAATAAAAAAAAAATTCCTTACGTAAAAGTCCGTAAATCGATATTTACTTTTTTTTAATTATCTAATTCCACGATGAAAAAAATTAAACAATTACATTGTTGTTACGGACGGTATTTTCATTCACTTTGATTGTAATTTATTTTTTTTTTTTTAGGGGGGAAAAAAAAAACGTTACGATATATTTTATTTATTATAATATAATATTATGGTTATTATAAAAAAGAAAAAATTTTATTCTTTTTGTTAATAATTATTATATTGTTAATTTTTTTTTTGTTAAAAAAATATTTATTGTCATTTGAGTTTTTTTTTTATTTCAAGGTTGTTTTTTTTTTGGTCTTCCATTATCTATTATATAATAATAGATAAAATTTTCTTATCGATAGATTTTTCCATTATTTTAAAAAATTTACACATTTTTTTTTTTTTTTTTTAAACAAAAACTCCAAAGTGTTAATTTTTAAAAGAAAAAAAAAAAAATTTTTTTTTACTTCTTTAAAATTATATTTTCAAAAAATGTTCTCTGTTGATTACAATTATTTGAATGCAAAAAAATTTTTTACATACAAATAATTTATTAAGTGATTTAATTAAACGTTTCCACATTCTAAAATTCTTTTTTTTCTTCAAATTTAAATTTTTACGCGGGAAAAAAATGCCAATAACAAACAATACTACGTTATTAATACGTTGTAAACAATAAAATTACGTTTGTGGCTCGTTTGGGTTTTGTTATGGTTTTTTATAATTTTTTTTATTATTAAAACGAAAAAAAAAAACAAAAAAAAAAACAAAAAAGGTATTAATTAATTTTGTTTACGATAAATATATTTAAATTATTTTATATATAAATAATAATGATAAATTTTAAATAATATAAATATAAAAAAAAACAACACAATAATATATATTTTAATTAAACTTTTCTCTTGTTTTTTTTTTATTACAGAGGGGGTATTTTGTCGAAAGAACGCAAAACGAAATTTTTTTATAGTAGTCAAAAAAAAAATAAATAAATAAATAAAATTGGCAACAATGTTTTTTAACCTGGAAATTACGCGGTTAATAAATTTCGAAAGTAAATAGTATTGATATAAAAATCATTTTAATGGATGAAACTTTAAATACTCCTTTTTGCAAACCATTAAGATTGATGGAATTGGTAAATTTATATTGATAAATATTAATTGATTGATTGATTTTTTATTACATATATTACATGTTTTAACGGTTTTTTTTCTTTTTCTTTTTAAAAAATGAAAATTTATTTTGAATGAAACACAGGGGTCCGTTTTGTTTTGTTTCCTTCTGTTATTTTTTTTAAGAAGTTATTCCCTTGATCAAATCCCTTTGCTTTCCGCTAACGAATTGATTTTTCTTTTTATAACATTTTTTTCACTTTTATTTCTTACCGGAGGGGATGTTTTGTCGCAAATGTTAAGAAAACCAGTTTCAAACAAACCGGTAAGTTAACAACAGATATTATTCATTTTTTTTATTATTATTTATTATTATTTCTAAATTAATATATATATATATATTTTTTTTTTTTTGCAGGTGCTATTGATATCATTGATAGGAGCTATTTTTTCATTTATTTGTTTTGTTTCATTAATTATACCCTATCAATCCTTTCAACAATGTGGTTCTAACCGGATTCATTCTTGTATTTTACTTCTTATTGCTGGATCATTTTTAGTGTGTATAATTTATGCGTTGGATTTCTTAGTAATTATACGCTTTTCTTGAACAAAAAAAAATTTCTTTTTCTTTTTTTCTTACTTTTTTTTTTTTTTGGTTTTCACTCTCACGTGCATATACACACGCACCTACGCACACACGCACGCAAAAATTTATTTATTTATATGCATGTAAACATATTTAAAAAAAAAAAAACATACGTTATTTTAATATATTTTTGTATATATATATATTTTTTTTATGAATTTTACATGTATAAAAAATTTAAAATAATTTTTTTTTTATATATTTTTTATCAATCAATAAATTAAATTTATAAAAAATTTCCCTTATTAATTTTTTTGATTACTTTTAGTATTGATAATAATAATTTTTATTAAATTAATTTTATATATATTTAAAAGTTTTTTTTTTTTTCAAAAATGAGTAAGAGCAAAAAAAATGATGATAATATTATTAATTAATAAAAGGAAATTTAGTTTTATTAATGAAAAATTATTTATTATAATAATAATTACAGATTAAATTTAATTATAAGAATTCTTTATTAGTAATAATAATGATAAATTGATAGACAATATTAATAATAATTTAAAATGCTTCAACTTTAGCAATGGATTCTTTACGTTCTTTTGTTGCCCGTAAAAAACAAAACCCAAAACAAAACAGTTTAAAGTAGGGCCTCGGAAAATTTTTTTTTGTAATAACAATAGTTCCGATCAAAATTTAATGTGATAATTTTTAAACAAAATTTATATAATGAAAAAATTTTAAAAAAAGTTTAAAAAAAAAAAATTTATTTTCTTTTCCATTTTTTTTTTTTTTTTTTTTTTATACAAAAAATTTTGGTGTCCTCCGATGCATTAAAAAAAAAAAAAAAAAAAAAAAACAAAAAATGTCTCATTTATTTTTTTCAGGTATTAAATAATTATAATACAAAAAAAAAAAAACTTAATAATAATAATATTATTATCGTTAGAAATCATTAGTAAATAAATAGTGTAATTAGAATTTAATCACTATTATTAGTATTATTTTTTTTTTTTTTGTATATTTATTATTGAAAATTCATTTGAGTTAAATTCACGTTAATTTTTTTTTTTTTTAATTGTATACATAAATTATGCCTGCTGATTTTATATTGTTTCCTGACCCCCCTGCCCCCTCCCCCCCAAACGCGTGTATATGTGTGTGTCGTTTTTGATATTTTTAAATTACCCATTTTTTGTAAATGATTAAAAGTAAACAAAATTTTTTTTTAAGCGGAAGTTATTATAATTTTTCTTTTCGTATGGATTTTATTAAAAAAAAAAAAATTATTTATTATGAGGTTCGTAAAAAGTAAATCGTGTGTTTTTATTATTATTATTATTCCAAAAAAAAAAAAAAAAAAAAGTGAGCACGTTTGAAATTTTTTTTTTGTTCCCAAATATAGTTACAATTTTCATCTTTGCAGACTGAATATGCAATGTAATTTTGGATAAACTCATACTAATAAATAAATAAAAAAAAGAAGAAGAAAAATGCCCAACGGAATCGAATCAGGGATTGCAGATTCATTACCTATAAGTAGTAGTAATAGAGGAAATAAAAAAATGGAACAAAATAGAAGTAAATCGATGTTGAAATCTGGAAAACAACACGGAGAAGAAGAATTCTCATCGAGAGAGAGTAGCGTCGTTAGAAACGGGGGGAAAAAAAATCAATGCAATGTTAAAAATAGATTGTTAAAATCTACGGAAAGTGAAAAAACTAAAAAATCAATTATGGAAGATAAAGGGAAAAAAACAGAATCCGCAATTATGAACAAATCGCAAAAACAAGTTAAAGCACAAAGAACTAAAGGATCGTTAACCCTCAACAAATTAAGTCCTTTACCTAAAAATTCCGATAATATTATCGTTGTAAAAGAAAATAAATTGAAAAACAACGAAGAACCCAACGATGTCAAAAGTAAACCGTTTTTAGCGATGAGCGATGAAAATTTAAAATTACTCATTGACGAACTATCAGCAGAAGAAATAAACGAAACAAATTGTAAAAAAAGTGTCGCGAGCGTCGAAGAAAAAGAAATTATAATTAATAACGATACTAATTTAGACGATGTTAAATTGGATGACGATTTAGAAGAATCCGATAAGGAATTATTCAAATCGAATAGTTCGGAAAATGTCATGCCCGAACCGGAAAAACAAAAAACTCAACCGGAATTCGTACCGAATAATAATAATAATAATAATATACAAAATCAAAATTCACCGATGGCCGCGACAACGAGTTCGTTTTTCGATAGAATACAACAAAGTTTCAAATCATATTTTTCATTTAGAAATCCACCGAAAACAGTTGGTACGACTGAAAAGAAGAGCAAAACAAGTTTATCGAACGGAGGTATCAATTTGGATTAATTTTTCCTTTTTCCTTTTTTTTTTTTATTTAATCAATTTTTTTTTTTTTAAATGAAGGAACTATTCGATATTATTATTATTATTATTATTATATAGTCAAATAAATATCGTCGCGAATATTATTGGGGAAAAAAAATTTTTTTTTTTTTTCATAAAATCGCATGGACATCCAATAGATAAATATAAAAAATAATAATGATAATATTAATATAATATAAATATTTAAATTTAATTCTTTCTTTCCCTATGCTTATAATTTTTTATCCCCCCCTTTTTTTTTTCTTATTATTATTATTATTATGACGTACTTTCTTGCGTGTTTTCTGACGTGTTTATTATGACGTAATAGTATTATATAAGCATAATTCAATATAAAAAAAAACTCTGAAATTATCGTATAGTTAAAAAAATTTTTTCCCAAGAGGAAAAAAAAAACCTTTAAGTTTTCGTTTCCGTTTCCGTTTAATTTTAAGTTTCCGGTTTTCTTTTTTTTTTATAACTTAGGAATTCACGTAGATTATTTTATTACTTAAAAAAAAGCCAATAACCATGCGTTTTTATTCTCCCAAAAATTCTTAATCCATACGAAAAAAAAAAAAAAAACAGATTTCATTAAATAATTTATTAATTTCGTCACGTTATTAATTATTTAAATTAATTATAATAAAATATTTTGTTTTAATTAATTCGTTCTCACGTGATCTCTGATCTTAAGCTAATTTAATAAATTGAAGTTAAAAATGTTTTTTTAAACTGAACTTTTTTTTGTTATTTAAAAAAAAAAAAAATTTTTCACTTTCTGAACAAATTATCAAATTCCGGGGATTTATATGTACATATATCAATAAATAAATATTACTAAAAAATTAAATAGTAGAATGAATCAAAAAAAAAAAAAAAA